TTAATATAAAACATAAGTTGGACTTATGGCACCACAGAACATATGGCACTACAATGATTTTAAAAATCGCTACATTTTGGGCCTTTTTAACTAAAAATTCCCTACTCCCTTTTTGTAGTATAAATTCCCTACGTTTAGGGAGAAATCCCTATTTTTAACAACACTGCCGTCGGCCCAATATAATCGGCGGCTCCCCTCCCGTCGTCCTCCTCCCCCCCCCGCTCCCCCCTCACCGCCCTTCCCTCCCCCTAATTCGCGAATCACGACCCGGGCCCGACCGACCACCTGCCCGACTAGCGGTTTCGTTAAGTAAGAGTGAAAAGAGGATTCCGTCTCTCTAAACCGATCTAGACGTGGACGCGAGCTTGCTCGCTCGCTCGCTCGCTCGCTCGTTCGCGCGGACCTTGAACCGAGGCGCAAACGTGATCCATTGTTCTCTGCCGACGACCCTTCGTCCTCTCTCCGACCGAGCACTCTCTCGGGCTCTCTCGATTGCTCGATTTTTAGTCGGGAGGCCCCACACACCAGAAGATCGGGCCCCCGGTGTCCTCTATTCTCGAGGACAGACGGGGACGACCGGGGGCGCCCGCCAGCGATCCACGCACGAATATATCCCGCGACTCATTGTTTTCCACGTATCGGGACCGGCGGGCGGTGTGCTCGTTAAAGCGCGCACGGCCGAACGGTCGCTCGACGTAATCGCGCGAATCCGATAAGGAGGGAAAGACGGTTTTTCCCATTTCGCGCGAAGAGAGAGAGAGAGAGAGAGAGAGAGAGAGAGAAAGACATGCAGACGATTGCACGAGGCGATTCTTCGGGCGACCGTCGCGCGCGCGCGCGAAGCCTACCTGAATTCGCTCGTGAAGGTGTGAGCGACTAATTTTGTTTCTCATCGCATGCCGAAAGCAACGACCCGTGCACATCGCCGCCGATCTCTCTTTCTCTCCCTTCAAGGCTGTCTCGGGACAACCAACCACCTTTTGCCCACGAGCACCTGCCGACTGCTCGTGCTCTCGACTCGCTCGTAAATACCTCGGTGTTATCGTACGTATGATTTTACAAACTGCCGCTTCTCTCTTTCTCTCTCTCTCTCTCTCTCTCCAGTCGCCTCTTTCCTCGTTTCGTAGTACGCCGGATTTCGTACGCGGCAGGGTGGATTATTTCGCGCAAACACGTCACGCTCGGTTACTAATCGTCGCGTCGATTAATTCGGAGTAATCGATAATCTGCGTCGACCGAAACAAAGAGAGAGAGAGAGAGAGAGAGATCCAGAGGATAATTATTTCAAAAAAGGAAAAAATTTCGCGTCTTATAGCACCGAAAATTTAATTCAGCAATCCAGGTAGAACATTAAATCATAACAATATCAAAATAATATCAAATCAAAATCATTTTAGGAAAAATTAAATATGTCATTCGATACACTTTTGATGATTGATTTTATAATGAATTCTTGATATGAAAATGACTTTACAGTGAGTTTTTTTTTAGAAAAAAATCATTGTAAAATCATTTTAAGAATTCATCATAAAATCATTATCAAAAGTGTATCGAATGACATCATTATATGATTTTCCCTAAAATGATTTTGATTTTATGTCATTTTGATTTTTTTATGATTTCGTGTTCTACCTGGGAAGCTCAATCCCTAATGAAGTCCCTTGTAAAAAAGCAATTTATGAAAATTGCCGAATACACGAAAATCATACGAAAAACGTTACAAAACACGGAGGAATTTGACGAAAGATCGAGAAACGACGGGAAATTTCGTGCTACGGTCTCGCCTCGCTACTTAGAATGCGTATCCCATGGGACCGTCTCGATGTCAGACCGAGGGATACGAGGGCCTCCGGCTTTCTCGATGCCGAAACGACGGCGTCGCGCGGCGTCTGTTTTCTGCCCGGCTTCGGCCGACGACGTATTAAACCGACTCCTCTTCGATGTTCCGCGTCGCGCTCGTCGCATTTTTACGGCGTGCAACCGGTTGCCTTCCACGTTGCGATCATTGTCGTTGCTTTGGCGAAACCCGGCGACTCCCGTGGCGCGCCGCCGCTTCGTCCTCGCCGATGTACACGCCGGATAGACGCGTATGTACGTGCACGCGCGCGCGGTATATAAGGTACGCGAAGCGACCGGTGCCTCGCTTCGAACACGGCAAGGAGGATATTTCTTTCGATTTCGATCGCCGGGGTGCAGTAACGCCGCGGAGAACCGCATTGCTGGCCGCTGAGTCGGCGACGATGACGACGTTCGCGGCAGATCGCGGATCCCCCTCGACATCGGTCGTATAGAAAACGAGAATTTCTTATTTTCTATAACTAATTTTTACCCAATGTAAACTATTAAAAATAATCAAATAAAATTGATGTAATATTTTGACGAGGAATATACTGTGTGAAACTGCAGCCCATTAATAAATAATTACACGAAGCTTTTACGAATCGAGTGACTCCATGTCACTCTCTCCCGCGTCCCTCGAGGCGACTCGAGGGAGTAGGTATAGTTACTAGCGTCAAATTATCGCGCAATGTGCGCGGTATCGATCCGGCCATGTCCGATGTCTGGTTATCCACAAAATCTTGCGGGCGGGCGCCCACGCTCGTGCCGCGCAGAAGGCGAGAGAGATATCCCTATGGCTACCGAGACCGCAACGCGCGCGCGGTGGCGGGCCGTTGCACAACGGCGAGAACGGTGCGCAAATAGCACCAGGTTAGGCGATGATAGCGCGCGGATAAAGCGCAACGGCGCTTTTCTAAATATACCTACCCTCGCGCGCGCATCGCGGACTTCATTCGCGGAATTTCATTTGCTTACCGCAGGCGCAACACTTGTCACTTATTAAGAGTTCCCCGCGAGGTTACGCGCGAGCCTTAGCACGGGCTCGTAGTCGTGCCGTTTCATATTCTCGTATACGCAAATTAGATGCATACGCGAAGACGACTACTACTATCTGCGCCGGGATA